CTAAAACAATAATAGTGGAAGGTGGAATGGTTATAGCAGTTGAGGGGAGTGGTGGTGCTAAAGTACTCATTATTGGAGTTAAAACAGTGGAGACAAGAGACTTACTGGATTAATTGGATTGAGAAGCTAATGCACCATATTTTGAGGATATTTCTTTCTTTAGAACTTTAGGTTGTTTCTCTGGAGCTTCTTGCTTCTTCTCAAGAGAGTGAATCTTCCTTTTGCATAATGGATGAGGTTTGCCTGGAAAAGAATCATAGAAAATAGCATAAGTATCAAATCCTTCCTCCTGAAGCATTTTGACATAGGTTGCTAGAACTTCTATTGGATCCTGCTTAGTGAAGTAAGGATAATCATCAACTGGTATTCTCTGAAACTTTACTCCTTGTAGATCAATAGTTATTCTTGGTTTGATCACATTTTCAACAACTCTCATGCTTTTGATATTGTTTCGATTAAACGATTTTCCAATTTTTGCAATAATATCCTCCATACTTTTTGCTTCAATCAAATAATCTATAACCCCACTTTCAGTTAGAAAGTCTGATATCAATCTCCCCAGTGGGATGTATCTCTTTTTAGGCTTTCTGGATCCATCATTCCTTGTTTCAATAATAGTATCCCTCAGATAATTAAAGAGTAGAGAAGGAATATGTATCTTATCTTTCTTCATTAGATAGTAAAGGATAGACTTCTGATCGGCATTGATTGAGTCAGATGAACTGGTTGACGGTATGTGATGTATGCATCCTAAGATGATTTTGAACCACACACGAAGATTCTAGTTGAGTTCCAGTATCTTTGAGGATTTTTCTTTTGTAGTCCCTTGCTTGCCTTCTGCAAAAATAGTTGGTTCTATCACATTGTGTAAGAATTTTGATTTTAAATCTGCTCCATAAACCAATTTTCCTCTTGCTTTATCCATCCCTAGTAGGATACCTATTGATTTAACATTGATAAGGATTTTTGCACCAAGAACATGAGAGACAATGTATTTTTCATCAGCAATGGCGAATCTCCAGAATTCTTTCACCAATTTTGTGTATACAGGGCCATGATGAAGATTGAAGTAATTACCCCATTCTTGGAAGTTGAGTTATTCAGTTAGATCCACTCCATTTCTTTTAAGTTCTCAAAATCCATAAGAAGTTCAGAAATGACTTCTAATTGATTAGTCGGAGTTACCATATGAACATGTGCGGGTTGATCGAGAATTGAGATCTTTTGACATTCTTGATACACAGATAATGATTGATGAAGTGTTAACGAATTTGAAGGAGAGCTACTTGAATTACTTTGTTGATATGCTTCTTGTCGTTCCAATTCTTGAGAGAATTTGTATAGTTCTAATTGTTATGCATCAGTGGATGAGCAGATTTGGGCGAAAAAAGGGTTTTAAGGTTTTCAGATGAGAGATTTAAAACTATGAGTAGTGAGTGGTAAAGTGTGCGAGGGTGAAGGAAGTGGGTATTTTAATAAAACTTTTAAAATTAATAAAAAGTACTAGGAGATAGAAATGATGACTCTAACAATCTATTCTCAATTATTCCACTGCTCAATAAGACACTTAATCGTTATGACGTGACATGTGTATTTCAATGAGTCATAGTCATATTTGATGTGACAATAATTAATAATATTCAAAAACAAGAATACTTAAAGATTTGTCTTTAAAGTATTACTGATATAGATAGCTTCTAACTAGTAGAAGTATCAAAAATAAAGTAAAATAATAAAAGAAATTTATCAGATAAGAAGGCGTTAGTTAAGAGAAAGAGGCAAGAACCTTTTATGCTGATAAGAAATTTCTGACAGATTTTCTATTTTTAAGTTTCTGAAGGATAATGAATGCTTCTGGATAGATGTGTTGTTCATTCGATCTCCATTACTTCTGATGACCTTCTTTTTCTGCGATTTATTCACTATTGAGAGATCTTATTCTCAAGAGACTAATTTTACTAAAGACACTAAATCTTAGAAGAATTTCTTCAATAAATCTTGTTATGATAAATCTTTAAACATTATAGTCAGTATGTCAGATAGGTTAACTTGACTGAGAACTGCTCATCTGTTTATCTGACTTAATTCTTCAGAACCTTGTGCTTCATATTTCTGGACTCAGTTGTTGGATATTTGCATTAATTCCTTCTGATACCCCTGAGACCCACAAGTTTGATTTCTTCAAGTTCCAAACTTTGAGACATAAGCTTTCTTCCCATTATGAGTTGTCAACATCCAGAGCTCAGGTGTCATGATTGGTGTCTTCACACTTCTATTTAACAAATCTGCAACATATACTATTTTAAATTTTGGTACCCACAACCTTTTGGGTCCTTTTGAGTTAGTTTTACCAGAATTCTTAATGAATTTTAGTTTTTGTGCAGCAATAAATTTTTGTGTCTGTGTTGGTATGTAGTGATAGGAAAATGGAGAAATAAGTTTGTTAACTTTATGATCATTATCAGAATCATTACTTACTTCTCTTTTTCCATTCTGACTAATGTCATAGATCTTAGAAGCTATCTTGCTTCTATCCAGGCTTTTGTTCAATAACTTTTGAAACTACTTGTCATATTTGTACAAGATAGTTTTGAAAGATGGTGGAGCTTTAGAAAGATTTTCTTCAAGTTTCAAACATTTTTTATTCTGAAAAGTGTTTTCTTTTTCTAAAACGGAATTCTTTTGTTTATGTTCATACTTCTTTTTCAAACCTACCATATTCTTTAACAGCATATTCATGAACTTTTATCAAGTTTTTGAATTTATGTTTAAGTTCTTCGTACTTGCTCAGAATGTCAGATATAACTACTTCTAAATCAGCACGAGGGATTTCAAAAAATACTTCTTCAGACTCTGACTTTGTATCTGATAAACTTTCTTCTGAAATGATAGTTGTGAATACTATGTTGGCATGCTCTTCATCAGAATTTGATCTTGGTGCTTCTGAATCATCCCATGTTGATATTTATTAGGTACCACATCAATGTTCTTTTTTTAAATAGCATTCTGCCCAGAGTTTCGGATATGCATATCTGAACGAACCCTTAAATCATTTTTTCAAGGTATTTCGGATATGCATGTCTGAAAGTATCACTAAAGTTTATTAACGTGTAAACAGAGGATTTTCGGATATGCATATCTGAAAACCCCCTGAAAATTAACTCAAGAGTTCGTTCGGATATGCACATCCGAAGGATATTATTGAATTTTTAGAGGTGTTTTTCACCCATATAAGGATGGATAAAGAAACTCTCATTCAAAAATCACTACTCGAATCCGGCCCTAGATGAATTTCGAGCTATCTGATTCTAAATGGTTTTTTTTTAATAAAAATTATATAAAATTTATTATAAAATAAAATTTAGTGAAGTGAGAAAACCCAATTTGTATTATTTTTTTTTTAATTTATTGTTATATAGACCTAACGAGCTACTTTGATGAGTAGCAGAAAGTTTAACTTGTGATCCGTAGCAAGGAATTTAACTTGTCACCCCTTCACATATATCAGGCAATCCCCTACCCCATTTTGCATGTTGCTACTATTATACACTTGTCTGAAGTTATCAAATTTAAATTTGAAGGGTGACAGGTTAAATTCTATCCTCCTGAAAAATATAAGCTCTTATTTTAAAATCCAAGACCTATAATTTTTCAGGCCCGGCAAGTCAACTCGTATAAACTACCCCATTATAAGCTCTTATTTTAAAACCCAAGACCTATAACTTTTCAGGCCTTGCAGGTCAACCCATATAAACTACCCCATTTTGACAATGATTCTATCAGAATTGAGTTTAGTAGAATTATTTTAACAACATTAAGTTTAGCAGAATTAATTTATGTTTGAATACATCTATGTAAAAATGAATTGAACAATAAATTTCAATGTAAAGTCATCTAGAATCAATTCTGGAGACAGAAACTACAAATTATAACTTCAAGTAGAATCAATTCTAGAGACATAATCAATTATACTCTTAATAAATCAAATACCTCAATTACTCATAATCAATTTTACATCTCTAAAATTAATTTTGGATCTTTCAAAATGGAATCAATCATACACAATAGAATTGTTCTCAAGGCATTCTTTTTTTTTTTTTTTTGCTTTTTATCAAAGATTAAAGAAAGATCCATCCATGTAAACTCTAACATAAAAAGGTCACCCACGAAATAACACTAACATGCTGTCCACACAAAAAAAAAGCATCAATATGAATATCAACAGAAACTCAAATCAGTTAAATAACCTATTAACAACATGCTTCACGCTCAAGTAAATTAATCTTGGGGGAATTAGACCATTATCTAAAGTTTTTACAAGAGGAAATCCCAATTTTTAAATACAGTACAATCTACACTTAGACCCCCCCCCCTCTCAACAGAATGGGATCAAATAGATCACTTGAGTCTATAAAGAATTACTCTTTGAACTAGAATGTAATGCTGATGATATGTATAACATGCATGGGAGACATTCAGTAACCATGACCAACACAATAGAGGTTGATTCTTAAACTCATGTTTGATAGTTTTCTGCTAGTTGACAAGGTTTCGAGACAATTTTTGCCTCTACTCATTCTTCGTTCAAAGATACAAGCCAACCTCGCTGACTTGACAAAGTAACAACAGCGAAAACCATTCATTTAGTGATTTTGTCTCCACATAGAACTATACATGAGGTTTGGAGGTCATGATATAATTACAGGAATCCACTTGTTACAATCCTGCACATCAACTTTGGTCAAGAATCCAAAAGTGTGCACACCACCCCCTACAAACCATGCATCATCCGTGCACCATGCTTGAAACTGCCACTTACCAAAAAGACAAGGGGCTTGTCATTGCCAGTAATAGTTTGAAGAGTAGAATATGATAGTGGCACAAGAGTTCGGGCCATAACTAACCATGAATATCTGATGGAATTTGTTTCAAATATCTGCCGTGCTGAGTGGAAGCAGATTGCACAAAATACCTGCCTTCCATATTCACTCAACTATCATTCACCTTCTTCTGCCATAGTAGATCCCACCACCAGAATAGTAGTTATGATGACGATGCCTTGATCCACCACCCCTGCCACTGGTTCCTTCAAAAGAGTTTCCACGACCACCAGCTTTGTTACTTCCACTTTGCATCCAGTTTGTAGGTTGGGCCCCTAATCCATTAAACTCTTCCTCCTCTCTATCATTATACTCCAAGATAAGCCTCTTAATGTCTTCTTTCTCCTGAAGCTCAGCTGCTTCTTTTTGTTTCGTACTCTGCACCAGTGAGGAATCACTGGGGATGTACATCTGCTTTGTTTGTTGTTTGTTCCCACGCTTCACCAGAACTTTCACCTGAACCTCTTTGTTTATGCCAGTATCATCATCTAAGGCTTCATCGCCACTTTCCCCACCAGTTCCTCTCCCGTGATGATCCTTGGCAGATCCTTCAAATACATTCATTGGAATCATCATATTCAATGTAGGACGACCCCGCAGCTCCAGTCGTCGCTGCTCCATACTCTCCTGCATAAATTAGAATACAAGCACCATGAATATGTCAAAAATCCAGCAGCCAAACATTGTATACATCAAGAAAATGCTAACCCCTCCTTCCAAAGAAAATCTAACCTTACAAATGCTTGTTGAAATTTAGGAATTTGGTAGGCAAGAGGGAAAACAAGACATGATATATTTTGAAAATAAGGCTCTAACTAATTGAGATATTGTGCCATAAAAAAAACTGAACTATTTTGAAAACAATGTGATCAGATAAATCATCAAACATTGCAGAAAATGAATCAGGAGCAAGTAAACATGAGAAAATAAGTAAAACCCTTACCTGTAAGACAGCCTTGAGCTCCTGATCAAAATTGGCTTCTTCCAATGGGTCGACTTCTGTTACCTTCTGTCTTACATGGACTTCATCTTCATCATCAGAAGCAGGTCCGTCCTCATCTTCATCGTCATCCTCAGTCTCACACCCATCATCATGATTCTCCTCATCCAACTCTTCATCATCATGTCCTTCCACATCATTTACGTCACTTCCTGAATCATGCTCACCGTCATTGACATTTTCTTGCACTCCATTTTCCTCAGTGCCGTTATCATTGTTCTGTTTAATGCGAACCATAGCAGTGGAAGTGGTCCTACTTAAGGGCCTATCAGTGTCAGAATGTTTTTCACTACTAGCCTTATCAGCAGAAACTATTCGATCATGCTCCTCGAGTTCCACTAGAGCTGCATTCACCTCATCAGCAGAATTGTAACGAACCATACTTGGACGCAAGTCCGCAAACAGATCCTACAGAACAATCAATTATCCAAAAATAGCAAATGTAAGAAAATGAATATCCATCGGTATACAAAAGTTAGTGACAGTTTTTGGAATCTACTGACAAGCATTCTAAAACAGATATATATGTCCATTGTTGCTAGTTGCTGGAACGAGGGAGATAAAGAAGTGAAAGGAACATGTTGGCAGCTACATTTTCCCACAAGTAATACCATATTTTTCAGGATGGTTATTCCATGAATATTCTATTCTTGTTCCAAACTTCACACCATATTAAAACATATCCTGTTACTGGACTAGTCAAATTAAACTATTCATCATGTTAGTCATAAACAGATACTAATTTATACCAACACTTAACTCTACAATATAAAGGTAGTACATGGCAACAGAGTCACTCGGATAATATTGATAAAAATAAACAAGAAAAAATAAGGTATATTCTGGAGTACCAGAATAAAGAACAAAAAGATATCTTCTGAAGTGCATTACCAATCATAAACAACATATATAAAAACAGCTATTAATGCATAAGAGCGGCCACATCCTGGCATATCCAATTCTAAATATTCAATTCTAAACATATCCTGTAACTGTACTGTCAAATTAAACTATTCATCATGTTAGTCATAAACAGACCCTATCTTACATCAACACTTCTACAATATAAAGGTATTAGATGGCAACAGGATCACTCAGATAAAATTGATAAAAAAAATAAACAAGAAAAAATAATATATCTTCTGCAGTACCAGAATAAAGGACAAAAAGACATCTTCAAGTGCATTACCAAAATAATCACAAACAAGATAAATAAAAACAACTATTAATGCATAAAGATACAAAATCTCGGCATATCCAATTCAAAATATTTTAATTTTAGATATGATGACATCCCAAAGACATAATATGGTACAACAATACCACTTAAGTTTTCTCAATTCTATTGGATTAAACTCAATAGTGATGCATACATAAACTAAGATTACGACTGCTAATATGAATCATCAAATATGTAAATAAACACATCAATCATTCACTCGTAATGAAATTCAGTAAAAAAAAAAAAAGGCTCCCAACTGACCTGCAAGTCAAATTCGACATCCAGAGGCAGTGCACCTTTGCTTAAGATATACCTTTGGAAGTGTATTAGGAACCGATCAAGTTTCTTCTTAGAAGAGCCATGATCAAAGTAATGGCCACAAGTTTCAAGTAGAGTAATGATCAACCTTATACGGAAAAAATCTTCAGGTGGATCGAGTACATCTTGCTGACAGGATAAATAAACAAATTGACTAATGTCATGAGAAGGCAATATATGTAAATTAATTAATTAATGAAACCAATATACAGTTCAAGTGTATCTGTATTCAAGTCATGTAGTAGAACACATCTATGAGATTTGTTGACTTTGGCAGTCATCATCTTAAAAGTCAGTTTCATCTTAAAAGTCAGTTTTGTGTGGTTGGGTTAGAGCTAAGCCCAAATTCTAAGATGGTATCAAACTCTTCTAGGTGTACGTTGATGGGTTTCCCGTATCGTCCCCACTCCTGACCAATCAGACCTGGGTATGATGGGTGTGTTGGAAATTCCACTCTTAATCGGAGTCCACTCCTAGGCTTTAATTGTGGCAAATACGGGCTGGCATTCATTGCACTCTTAAAACACCCTGTGTTGGGTGTAAGGGTTGTACTTATTCTCGCATTGTTTAGAAGTATGGTCTAAGTAGTGCTGACAAGGCATGGGCAGTCTCCACCTTGAATTCTAAGCCTAAATTCTACAACTCTCATAAAAAAGTTAGTATACAATCAATACCTCTGTTGTTCCATGGCCATATATAAGAATGAGATATAGTGTCTCAAAAATAACAGATGAGTCAGCATGCTTGTAGTTGTAAAGCTCCCCTAAAAATCGCATGTTGGCAACGCGTCTTTGTTGCATCCCATAGTCATTTAGTTCCAGCCCAACTCTAATCTCCTCCAAAACCTGAAACCAAATACCAAAATCAACCCCATAAATGTTTGGAAAGTAAATGTCTATAAAAAATTCACATACAAAATTTCCATTCTCCCTCGGGTTAATTTCTAGAATTTGAAATAGTAAATTCAAAACATAAATCAGAGAAAAATAATAATAATAATCTTAGAATGTGTGGGTTGGACCTAACTCAATCCTACAAAACTGGCTTGTAAGATGAGAATTGTCCCCACTTATAAACACATGTTCAGACCATATATTGTCCGATGTGGGACTCTTAACACCCCCTCTCACGCCCAGGAATTGCGTCTGGAGCGTGAAATTAAATGGTGAGTGGTCCAATGGATCTTAGATGAGGCTCTGATACCATCTTAGAATGTGTGGGTTGGGCCTAACTCAACCCTACAAAACTGACTTGTAAGGTGAAGATTGCCCCCACTTATAAACACATGTTAAGACCATATATTGTCCGATGTGGGACTCTTAACAAATTAGATTACTATTGACCATGATAAATTAAGTGAGCAACTTAAAATTGCGAGGCATCCTTTGCTCAGTCCGACCAAATTTACATGCAAACAAAGTTATGAGCAAACAAAGCAAGAGCTAATTAATAAGTTCGGTGTTTCTAAGTAGGCATCCTTCAAAATTCAGATGAGGAAGAGATGACAAATCAAGAATGAAGTAAAATACCAAAAATAACAACCTCATCAACTATAGCCACAGCAAACTCATCATGATAGCGACTTAACCCAGCAGCAAGAGATGCAATCAGATGGATCTGACCATATTTTCCTTTGTGAACCTTCATGAAGCATTTTAAAAGATACGGTTCACAATCACTCCATGGTAATTTACGAAGCTGCCTCAGCACATGCTCAATGGTAGACTTGTCAAGATCAGAGAAAAGTAATTTTCTGATATACTGCAATGAAAATATCATTATAATGTTAGTTGAGATTACTAAGTTATAAGAGAAAGAAAAGGAAGTTGAAATAAGAATTGCACAAGAAAAGGAAATTGAAATAAGAATTACACCTGATGCAACGGAGGACGGACTTTAGCTACTCGTGCAGACCTTTCAGGTGGCTTGCAAAGGTAGTATGCATTCTCCACCAAAGTGCTATGTCTAGGATCCAAGTTTTTAACATTTTTCAAGCGCATTAGTATCTCCAACATGTTACCCATGCGTATACTAGTTTCTGGAGAACGATACAGAAAACGACCACATGTTTCAAGAAGGTTGCAAGCTACATCAATGTTGTGATGACTAAAATCATCTAAACAGGCCTGAAATTATTTTAAAAAAACATAAAGTGAGGATTCAATATTTTACAATTATTTGATATATTCTTCATACACAACTATTTGATCTAAGAACTAGTAAAATGGAGGATAACAGCCTATTCCACATGAGTATAACTTATAGGACTTCTGTGACCAAAATAGAATAGAATTTAAAAAGCTAGACAAAAAATGTGTAGTGGATGAACTGAAATCTATTGACATTATAAGGACAACTCCAAAACAGAGTTTGCAAATTTAGCAAAACTGTTACTGACTTTTGTAATTAAAAGGAGTTAGCTGTAATTTGATTATTAGTCTCTTATACCTTCAAACAACTGAAGACCAGGCCAGCAGGGGCAACTTTGAACTTGCAAAGTTCTCCAATGAACCTGATATTCCTGATCTTTGTCTCAATATTCATCTGGTCCTGTTAAGACATTCCAAAAACAAGGTGACAAAAGTAATTACCTAATTTAAAGTGATGGAAAAAAAATGATCCAATTCTAAAGATTTATGTAAAGTTAACCTTTTTATTTATTAAGAAGTTGAACTCCTCCTCCAACATCTGCAATAGAAGAGAGGAGACATCCTTCATACAAGTTGAGAGTGTAGCAACCATGCGTGAGTAATACGCTAGCAGCTCTAGAGAAGTCCTTGGAACACTGAACAAAGCCCTCACAAGCTTTTTCCGATTTGATTTTGAATTTAGATAACAGAACTCTACCTAGCATTTGTTTAGCCAGAGGGAAATAATCATTAATAGTGATGTAAAAAATAACAATACAATCTAAGAATATAAGTAATAGAGCTCAATAAGATATCCTCACTGTTAATTGATCTATAAGGTCCCGGCTCACACAACCCGGAAGCCTCTGCAATAGAGCATCCAAATTTGTTCCTTCAACACTTCTGAGTTTCTCTTTGTCATTCTCCCCTTTTTTTTCATTCTCTTTTTCTTTTTCCTTGTCTATGTCCAAATCTTTAGACTTTTCTTTTTCTTCTTTATCATCCACTCTCTCAGTGCTTTCTCCTTCTGGTAAAACATTAGACTCTGTGGAGCCCTCTCCACTTTCAAAGGTGATCAGTTGGCTTTTGTCTGATTCAGGTAATATTTCCTAAATAATATCAATCTTGGAGTCAGAGATAGTTGCAGAAGGTAGGTAAGAAAAGGAAAAAGAACCCAAGAAGATGGTTCTCTGTCAGAAAAAGCTTCATATTATTCTTTAACGAAGAATCATGCAATGGCAGCTTAAGTTGCTAAAATTTAGAAAAAGTTCTTAAGTAAGGAATGAGAAGTACATGTTCCAAAACAAAGAAGTACAGGAAGAAACATGAAACAACACATAATTTATCAACATTTTATGAATGACGGAATTCATATTGTTGAAACTATTGCTAGTTTCAAGCTATATATATATATATATGAAGAATCAATCTATTTTTGCTTAAGATCAACTTTCCTCGAAGGTTAAGCATCTTGGTAGAGGTCCAATAGATAATATTAGTATCAAATCTTTAGATTGTATAGGAAAACAGCTAAAGACTAACGTAATGGAAATTAAAACTAAACCGGGTCACACTAATAACGAAAACAGTACACTACTGAGTTTCAAAGACCTAAATTCTAAGAGTTGGATACGCATAAGTTTTTACCTTCATCAAATAGGGGGAGAAATTAAAATGCATGAAAAGACAATAAAAAGAAGATCCTAAAATAGGTTTTAAAAAATTGCCAATGTGATTTCTTACAGTTGGTTGGTCTTGACTCTTCACAGATTGCTCATTGACTTTTGGCTCTGTTTCTCCCAAAAGCACAGCAGGAACAAAAGCTCTGGAGAAAAGCCAACCAGGATAAAGTTTCATCAAAAATAAAACAGGGGTAAACAAACTAAAGAAATTTTTAAGCCATTGACGTTTACATCAAAGTTTTAAACATGTAAGAACACAGTGGTGACCAAGGACTAAAATATGGATTTATATATGGAGGGCCCATTAGCAATTTGATAAATAAAGAGGTTCTTGGAAATACATACCTAAGATCTGGAAAACATTCATAAAAAGCCCTTGTGTCTTCATCATCCCATACGGGTTCAACAGAAGAATCTTTCCCAGAAGCAGAAGAAACCGCCTCTTCGCCACTAGTAAGCCGTGTTGTGTGGCCATCCTCTGGCATTACAGGAGGCTGCATATCAAGTGCTTCAGCTAATCTGTAACAAGACAATCATAACTACAGGATAGAATAATTAAAAGGAATAATTAGAGACACCTCAGCAATATTGTACTGAAGGATGATTCCACTTATAGTCTATATTAGACAGAAGAAATCGGCAGGAGGAATGAGAAGTCAAAATATTTAACAGCAAGTAAAGCAAGACTATTTTACAGATACATTACAAATTATCCCTTTTGTCAAGTTTGGGGGGAACCTCGATTAGAGACATGAAGGCCACCTCAGGGCTAAGACAACACATGGTCTAAACTCTATATATGAACCTGAATGTATGAACACCTGGTCTAAACTATTCTACTCCAAAGACAACCACATCCATATTTGCCTCTAATCTGATGAACTGTCTCCATAACTCAAAGCATCTGTGACTTTTCTTAACGTATAACATGCATATATACATATAAGCCACTAAGATAAGCCAAAAACATGTATAGGCAGCCATACATGTACACCTTAAACTGGGGTCATAGTACTTTTTCAAATACATTAGACATACAGAAACAAAATAGCCATTAGACATGTAAAAATGAAAAGCCGAAACTAAAAGCAACTTACGATGAGACATTGCGGTACAAATGGTCATACGATTTACGAAGTTTTTCATAAGAAGAAAGATTTTCATCGCTTAGCTCTCCTTTTGCATTCAAAATCTTAGAATTTTCATGCTCCATTAATCGAAGTGACTGTCAAGAAATAAAAGGCGTCAATAATTACAAAACTATTGGCACATACTTGATGGAAAAAAGAAACCCGAAAAGAGAAGGCGAGGACAAACAAAAATAAATAATGTTTGCAAATACAGAATGCTTACGGAATGCTCAGACTGAAGTAGTTCAGCTGCAGCATCATAAAATGAAAAACATGCTTTCCGGATAACTTTCTTTTGATCTACCGTGATGTTAAGGCCTTTCAAAAACTGTATCAGAATGTCAGTGTAGGAGTATTTAAAGAAGCTCTGGGCAGACAAAATAAACCTTGGTACAAATAAAAGTCGGAGAAAAACTTGCGATCATGATTCATGAACAAGGAGGACATTGAACAAAAACAATTAATAGAAGCATTGGTAATATAACTGATATAATGAATATAAAAGAAATACCTCTTCCTGAATTTCTGGCCCACTCAGAGAAAGTCCTAGGAAAATTCTTCCTTGCCGAGCAAAGCTGGAAAGAAGGGTCAAACTTGTTTGTAAAGCTTCCCGGTCTTTCAGCTGTTCCACACTGGTAAGATCTTTTATGATATTGATAAAAATTCCACCATCTTCAATAACACCAACAAAAAAAAGCTCCATTAGAAGTTTCAGAGAGCTCCGCTTCTTCATTGCCTTTAAGTTTCTGTCTGAATCTGATTCATCACCGGACTTTCCAGGAGAGAAGACTTTGAGAAGCCCTTGAATCAGAGTTGGCACAAAATCCTTATATCTTTGATGAAGCAGAGAGCATATCTTTCAGAAAAAGAGACCAGAAATCAAATATTTTAGGTAACATACACAGCATAAAATAAAGGAAAACTTTTAAAATTCAGTGGAAAAAGTAATTCACATGCTAGACTAATCAATTATTTGATTTTGATTATCATTGTATAACAGAAGAATTTATTAAGATAAAAAAGACAAGTAGAAAGAAACATGAGTAGAAATTACTAATAATAATAATAATGCAACGACAGGACAAAAAATGAACAGCAATGGAATACAAGAGATATACAGCATAGATTGAAAAGACATACCAATGACTACAAGAGAAAATACACTAATGCTAATTTACAGACTCGCAAACTGGGTGTGATGTGCCTGTGTGTATGTATTGTTTGTAAGCATTAGTTTCCTTTAGAAAATTAGAGTCGTGTGTTATTTATTGTAATAGTGTAGGCCTGACCTCGTACTAATAGCGCTACACTAACCGTACACATGGCCTAAAGCAATAAATTGGAGTGGAAGGCTTTTGTTTTGTATCACGTATACACCTCATTAATGTGACATTATGGAGTCCTAGTCCTACTGCTTCCCTTTTCCTACTTCCCTTCCTAAACCATAAAGTTTCAACATTCAATAAGATTTAGGTATATGCTTAAAAGGAATTTCCATTAAATGGAATTTAAAAATTAGGGAGTGTATTGGATTGAGATTTCAAGGGATTATAATCTTTAAGATTATAAAAGACATTGTAAGATTATATTGACTTTTCATATTTTTTTAAAACATTGTTTACAATCAAGATTTTTCAGTTTGAATTTCAACTGATTTATAATAAAGATTTTGAAGACTTCGAACTATTTTATGGATTTTAAAGATTTTACAGAATTCAATGAAAATATTTATTATAAAAAAAAGTAAATAAAAAAGATAATAAATAGAGAATTCATGCCATAACTCATATCACCTCACTCTTATTAACACTCACTAAGTTCAAGAAGAACAATAACAATTCTTTAATAGATTCAACTTAAAATTCACTAAAGCACAATTTATTGCAAATAAAACACCTATAAACAAGTGTTGCTTCTGTTTTAAATAAAATGGAGGTGTTGACTTGAGAATTGTGACACAAATTTAAAAATACAAGGTATTTTGTATCCTCTATATCACATTAATGTATGAGATTTATTAAGAATGAATGTTAAAGATTTATTAAGATTGAATAATTGATCGGTATAAATAAATATGATGATAGAAAAAAAAACAAAATAAATAAAAATACAACAACAAAGCATTATCCCTAGGATCGGCTACATGGAACAAATTTTGTCATAATGTTCTACCAAAGACCATGTTATTATCCAATTCGTTAATCTCAAGATCTTTTTTAGTAGTTTCTCTTATAATAGTATTCCTCAATTTCTAGTTGTGTGACTCTTTTCCATCTAATCAACTCTCCTTACAATATAATTAAAGAATATGCAAGTCTTCTCTCTACATGTTCAAACCACCTATGTTTATTTTCAACCATCTTTTTTACTATACTACCCCAACACACACTAATATTATCATTTCTAGTATATCTTGTCTACTACACATCCAACACAACATCCTCATGTCTACTACACTTACTTTATTCTCATATTGATTTTTATCACTCAATATTTTATCTCGTACAACATCACAAGTCTGACCATTGTCCAATAAAAATTTTCCTTCAACTTTAGTGGTACTTTTGTGTCGCATAAAACTCTTGAGACCATCTCCATTTCAACCATCCATTTCGAATTTGATGGTTTACATCTCTTTTTATTTCTCCATCGCTTTGTATTACAGACCCAAGATATTTAAACTGTGACTTGTAAAAGAATATGATCTTCAACTTTCATCTCTAGATTACAAATGTTTCTTCTTTTGGTGAACTTACATTTCTTATACTCCGTCTTACTTTTTCTTAGGCGAAAGTCATGCATTGCTAAGGGACAACTCTAAGTCTCCAACCTCACATTTAAATCCTTCTTCGACTTTCCAAATAGGACTATATCATCTGCCAAAACCAAACATCTCGGTGCTAGCTCTTGGATGTATTTTATGATTACATCTAAAATTAAAGTAAAAAGGTAGGAGCTCAGGGTTGAACCTTGGTGCAATCTTATTTCAATGGGATGTTTTTCGTCTCTCCACCCTTATATCCAATACTACTCGATGCCTCTTCATACATATCTTGAAGAGCTCGAATATAGACAATCCTAACCTCTGTCTAGGGTTATTTACAAAATCTCTCCAAGCACTATAGCATACATCATCTCCAAGTCAATGAAAATCATCACACGTTTTGACCTCATAATTTCATTAAAAAGTTTGTTGAACCACTCAATTTCTCTATATCCAAGAATTTTTCATACTTCAATAGGTATGTTATTTGGCTCAATGGCCTTCATATTGCTCAACCTTTTCAACGCTTTTTTTTATTTCTTGTTTTTAAATTTGAAGGTAGTATTATAATTTCGATCGACTTCTCTAATGTCGAGTCTGTTAGAGTCCGGTGAGATATCATATCTTTCATTAAATAAATTGTAGAATCAAGTCTTCCACTATTCTTTATATCTTTTTCCTACACTAAAATTTTGCCTTCTTCATCTTTAACACACATCACTTGATCCAAATCTCTTGTCTTTCTTTCTCTTTTCTTTTGCAAACCTATATATTGATTTTTTTCCCTCCATAATTCCTAAAGATTGGTATAAACCGTCAAAAGTTTGGGTTCTTACTTAACTCACCGCCTCCTATGTCTCTTTCTCACCTTTTTTATACTTTCCCAAATTTCGGCATTTTTACACTTAGACCGTTCTTTAAAATTTTTTTTACTCTAACTTTACTCTTAACAACACTTTCATTCCACCACCTCGATTCTTTACTTCTAGGTCCAAAACTTTTTTATTCTCCCAACATCTTTTTAACTACTTTTCTAATTTCTTGAGTTATTTTGTTCCACATATCTTTTGCACTTGCTTAATTTCAATTTAAAAGATTATTTCTAAGGAGAAAAGATCCTTGCTATTTGCAGCAATCAGAGCTTGAAGTAATATAATAATACATAAATGCCGATGAAAGAGGAAAACACAAGGTAAACAAACAGTATGAATTTCAAATTCATGGACCAAAAGCAAAGTAAGGAGTATAGTCAGGGATACCTTTTCTTCCATGGAAATAGTTTCTTTTGTGTAGAAAAAGGAGAAAAAACAGAAATATGCATACCTGAACTGCTGCTTGTATATCAGAACTTCTAAGCCTTGCATCACATATAGCTGCCACTGCTTCACTAACAAATTTGCTTAAGTTGACACTTCGCAAGTCATCCATCAGTGATTCACGCTGCTCTTCATTAATCTGCTTCAGTTTCTTAATAACTGCAGTGTTGCGCTTAATGCTGGAATCCAAGGTCCTAAAAAATCCTGAATCTGCATTGAACATCATACTGTATTACTATTTGTACAACAAATATGTGCAACAATAGGTATAACAAAAAAACAGCCAAGTAGTGCTCAAAGTGATTTGAACTTAAGGGCGATTTGTTTTCACATTGTAAAGTCCCAATGCCAGAATTTGTTTTCACATTGTAAAGTCCCAATGCCAGAATGATATTCTTTTATATATTGTTACTGGGAATGTTTTTACTGAGGTTTAATTCATACCGCATATGGTAGGAACTTATCACTCATAGGACATTTTTCAAAACACTAGATTGAAAATTCAAAAATTAAAATAAACAATAGGTGGGAGGGGGAAGTTACAATTGCTTGAGTTCTAAACTAACTTTTAATCCTTTGGAATGTAAGATTCCCAACCTAAGGTGAGGAAAACATGGGTAAACATTAAACAACACTCCTGGGAATCAATAAAGCTCAAAACATTTCTTATAAAACTGCAAACAAATATAGAAATGTTTCACTTGCATTTCATACCTCTCACTCTCCCTGGAATAATTTTAAATAGCTTTGAACAAATACAACCTTAAGATGATAATGTTAAAACAACAACTTAGTATTTTCCCTAGTATGATCGAGTACACATACTAAATGATTCGAACGAGTTTAATTAAATACCAAATTCTGAGGGAGACCATTAGATCAAGTTATCTGTTAAACTATTTATTATTATAAAGCAGTTGTGATTATATTATTAGGAGCACTTTAGTGGCAAAAAGAAGAACTCACATGATGGCATTTGAAGGGAGAAAAACAAGAAAGTTCCCAACACAAGATCTTGGAGAGAGGGCTTGGACAACAACACGGAAGTGCAAACGATATGTAGAATATGATGGTCCAAGAGATTAGAAAAGTGGCTAAAGATACGTTGGGAGAATCAAGAGGTTTTGGACCTAAGGCCCTAAGGGTAAAGAATCGTGGTGGTGAAATGAAAGTGTTTAAAGTAAGGTTAGAGTAAAAAAATTATGGTTTTAAAGAATGGTCTAAGTATAAAAATGTTGAAACCGGAGAAAAGTATAAGAAAAGCTAAGAATGAGATCAAGAAGGCGGTGAGTGAAGCACGAACCCAGACTTTTGACGGATTATACTTATCTTTAGGAACCAATGAGGGAGAAAAATCTATATATAGGCTTGTTAAGGGAAGAGAAAGAAAGACAATATTTGGATCAATTGAAGTGTGTAAAAAGATGAAGAAGGTAAAGTTTTGTTTCAGGAAAAAGATATAAAAGATAGGTGGAAGACGTATCTCTACAATTTATTTAATTAAGGGTGTGATATCTCACCGGACTCTAGCAGACTCGACATTAGAGAAGAGGACCAACACTATAATTACTACAATTGAATTCAAAAGCAAAGGGTAAAGGAAGCGTTGAAAAGGATGAGTAACAGTAAGACAGTTGGGCGAGACAATATGTCGATTGAAGTATGGAAAATTCTTGGAGAGAGAGGTATTGAGTGGCTCACCAAACTGTTTAATGAAATTATGAAGTCAAAGAAAATGTCGGATGGAGAAGAAGCATTTTATTTCCAATCTATAAGAACAAGGGGGATATACAAAATTGTGCAAACTATAGAGGGATTAAACTCATAGTCATACCATGAAGTTATGGGAAACAGTGATTGAACGGAGACTAAGAAAAGAGACTCAAGTCACTGAGAATCAATTTGATTTTATGCCTGAAAAGTCAACCATAGAAGCGATCTATCTACTACAACATGTGATTGAGCAGTATCAGATGGACCAACAAGGCTTGCACTTAATTTTTATTAACTTGGAGAAGGTGTGTGATAAAGTGCTTAGAGAGATTTTGTGGAAAGCCCTAGAGAAGAAAAGGGTTAGGATTGCATATATTCGAGCAAACCAAGATATGTAGGAAGGGGTATCAACTAGCGTGCGGACACAAGGAAGAGAGACAGACGATTTCCCCAGTACAATAGGTTTGCATCAAGGTTCAACCCTAAGCCCCTACCTTTTTATCTTAATTTTGAATGTACTCACGGAACACATCCAAGAGTTGGCACCGAGATGCATATTTTTTGCAGATGATATAGTCCTACTTGAATAGTCAAAGGACGATTTAAATGAGAGCTTGGAGACTCGGAGACAAGCTTTAGAAATACATGATTTTCACATAAGTAAAAGTAAGACAAAGTATGTGGAATGTAAGTTCAACAAAAGAAGAAGTGTTTCTAACCTAGAGGTGAAAGTTAGAGACAACATCATCCCTCAAGTCACACAGTTTAAATATCTTGGATCTGTAATACAAAATGATGGAGAAATAGAAGGAGATGTAACCATTGAATTTAAGTTGGGTGGCTAAAATGGATGAGGGCTTTAGGGGTTCTATGTGACACAAAGGTACCGCTCAAACTGAAGAGAAAATTTTATCGGACTATGGTAAGACATACGATGTTGTCGGGACAGAATGTTGGGCACTTAAGAATCAAAACGAGAATAAAATAAGTGTAGAAGAGATGAAGGTGTTGCGTTGGATATGTGGTAAAGCTAATGTCTTCTGATAATATTATTACATTCCTTAATTTGTGTGCAACATTAAACGCGAGTCATTTTGAAACGGAGGTTGTAAAATATATCCTACCTATGTTAGCCTTGTTATGCATATTGAGCCTCAAGCTCGGATAAAAAGAGAGGAATGTACTAGACAGTCGATATGTAAAACGTAAAACTTTGTCGAATCTCTGGGACATGGATCAAATACGTAAAGAATTTGATTCATGTAGCCAACGCCACTTAATAGAATAAGGCTTAGTTGTTATTGTTGAATGTTTAGCTATGGAGGAGGACCAAGACCTAGGTTAGGATTCAACTCAGAATATGTAAGTAGTTTATTAACGGATTTGGAAGTTGATAATCACTTAAGCTACGGCTCAAGCAACTCTGCATTAAATTATTTTAAACATTCATGTTTCCTGCTGGCAGCCAAAAAAACTAATTCACATATCCATAATTACTATTGAAAAAAGGAATAAAAAACAGACCAGGCCTGTCAGGATTCAAATTGCTTTGACGTAAAGCCATTTTTGCCTCAATTGATTTCTTGATTTCTTCAAGGTGAGCAACAGCTTCCTGCTGATGATTAAAAAAAATAGGACTAACTGAGTCAGTGTATGACAAAACACTACCAAAAATATATTCATTAAACAATATACAAATCATAAGATCCATTCATTCGCAAATAAGAATGAATACAAAAATCCACAGAAATTTCATAGTTACCATCTGGAAAATGTATAAATTTTCTCACTGAATGCTCGTATTTAAAGAAAACAGGGCAACAAACACCACAAACCATTATTAAACAACCCGAGCTACTGTTATTACTTACTCCCTCCATCGCACATGAAGGCTATATTTGGACATACTACAATGCAGAATCGAAAGGAGCAGAGTGGAATAAAGCAAAATAGAGCGGAGCGGAATGAGTATTTCATTCTATCTTTGGAAATTTTAGGACGGAACAAGGCAAATTCTCCATACCACTCCATTCTGCTCTGCTTCATCCGATTTTAAATGATCCAAACAATGGAATACCACACTCTATTTCATCTCATACAGTTTCGCTTTATCCGATTAATAGATATGAACTCACAGTGCAAAATAATTTTACCTTGTCATCCAATAGAAAACCAAGAGTCTGCAATGTCATTAAAATAATTTAAAATAAAAGCGTGACATGGCGGGATACATGGTCGTTATTGGTTGACAGTGTAAAATTAATTTACATTGTTAGTGCATTACCCCTTTTCTCTTTATAAATACGGATTAGATATATTATAAAAAAAGATAGGTATTGATATTCTAAAGTGATAATTGCATTTTTCACACCTAATAACACTCGTCTAATAATCAGAGGAATCCCTTCTTCTCCTAATTACCATCTGGAAAATGTACAAATTTTCTTAGTGAATGCTCATATGAAAAGAAAACACATCACAAACCATTGTTAAACAAACTGAGCCACTTTATTACTTTCTCCCTCTATCTCACATGAAGGCTATATTTGGATATCCTATAGAGCAGAATGGAAAGGAGCGGAGAGCAACAAAGCAATAAAGCGGAGCGGAATAAATATTTCATTTCATCTTTGAAAATTTTGGAACGGAACAAGACAAATTCTTCATTCCGCAGAAATAATGGTGGTAAGTGATGGAATGGAATGAAATCAATACCTCTCCATTCCGCTCTGCTCCATCCGATTTTAAATTATCCAAACAATAGAATATCACTCTATTTCATCCCATACTGCTCTGCTCCATCCGATTTTAAATTATCCAAACAATAGAATGTTAGATTTGGTTTGTGTGCCGCTCTTTAAGTAAAAATTAGTACTGTTTACTAAAATACTTTTATTAATGGTAGTTAGTGCAACAGTGAACGAAATTCAATTTATAAATAAGGATGGAATATATTTAAAAAAATGATACGTATTCATATTCTAAAGTGTTTTTCACATCTAATCTATTAACACTCGTAGAATAATCAGATGAAACCCTTCTTTTCCTAATTACCGAAAAGAAAAAGCAACAAAAGCGTAGTAAAGTTGAATGACGATGATCACAACCTCATCATCTTGTTTGCTGTTACTTTCACCTCCGTTACGGCACTCATCCTCATGTTGATCCATATCCCTATCTCGCATTCACAAAATCACGCACCGCACTGAAAAATAAAAAAAAACGGAATCAAAAAATCAGCACTAGGGTTTCAAGTTGAGTAATGAAAATTATGAATCAACCACATCGAATAACACTTCCAAAACAAAAGAAACAATTGGAATCAAATTGCAATGGAAACAACACAGTGATAGAAAACCTAACGCGGTTCTAGCGTGAAATTGTTGAGGAGAAAAGAGAATCGAAGATGACATTACCAGACTGAAGTAATTGCAGGGTGAGGAGACGGAGTGGGTAGTATCGTAATCGTTACGGATGGAGAGAATTGGGGAAGATGTTGATTTCTGGAAGAAACGGAAAATGGTGGTTTTGTGGAGTTTTTTGGTCTCGTTCGTTTCGAACTAGGAAAGTCACTATAGGAAGCTCTTTTATTTATTTTTCGATATGTAATAAATAGTATTATGAAACTACTAACATTTACAGTACATTCCCTGATTATTATTTTTAATATTGAGTTAAATAGGTTGGTAATCCCTTTGAATATAGGTTATTTCACTTTTCGTATTTGAAAAAAAAAAATTAAAGAATTATACTTTTAATATTTGTTCGTTCGCGTTTTCTATGTTAGATATTGCTAATGAAAGGTGGGTATTTTTTTGGTTAGGTTTGTGTTTAGTGAGATATTAATGTGTCTGGATCCTATCGGTATAATATATGTATTTATTTTTAAAATATAAAAAAAAATAAAATGAAAATTTTATAAAAGAGATAATAAATTAGTGTCTATAATTATTTTATATATATATATATATATATATATATATATATATATATATATATATATATATATATATATATATATATATATATATATATATATATATATATATATATATATATATATATATATATATATATATATATATATATATATATATATTATTTTTATTTTAGAATTATTGTCAAAAATACATAAATCAATAGTAAAGTTGTTTTATTATTATTCAATATTTTTATAGTAACTTCATGTTTTCGTTAATATTCAATAGTTTGATCAATAACTTCATATTCTCGTTAATATTTAATATTTTAATTAGTAACTTAATATCTCCGTTAATATTTAATAGTTTGATCAATAACTCCATGTTCTCATTAATATTCAATATTTTGATCAGTAATTTTATATTATCGTTAATATTCAATATTTTGATCAGTAACTTCATGTTCTCGTTAATATTCAATATTTTGATTAGTAATTTCATATTTCTATTAATATTAAATAGTTTGATCAATAACGTCATATTCTCGTTTTCGTTATTATTCAATATCGATATTTTGATGAGTAACTCCATGTTCCCTTTAATATTCAATATTTTGATCATGTTTTCGTTAATATTCAATATTTTGATCACTAATTTAATATTTCCGTTAATATTCAATATTTTAATTAGTAACTTCATGTTTCCGTTAATATTCAATATTTTGATCAATAATTTCATATTCCAGTTAATATTCAATATTTTAATTAGTAACTTCATATTCCCGTTAATATACAATAATAAAAATCTTAAATTAACAAATTATATTAAAGAAATATTCAAATAAATTATATAATTCAATTAGTAATAATTATTTAATATAATTAATTAAAATTAATTTACAAATCAAATATATTAAAAACTATTGAATATAATTTTCATTTTCATTAAATTTAAGGGAATTGAAGACATATACTTCCTCCATCCTATATTATTTGTCCCAATGGACTATTTCACCCAGAGTAAGAAACAATAATAAATGAAAGAGAGAACAAATGAATTACCAAATTATCTTATTTAACTGTTGGTGTATTCAAATTAGCATTAATATTTAAGTGAGAAAACAATAAATTAAAAATATTTATTAGAGGGTATAATTGTAATATTAAATATAAAATTGCATTGATAATCTAAAGTGATAAGTATTTTGGAGAGAAAAAATTCCTAAATGCGACATTTATTTTGAGACAGAGGGAGTACTTTTAATTTCTCTCTATTTGATTATATAATTATTATTTTAATCATATAACTTTTAATTAGTAATTGATCTGACTTGATCAGAGTTGGACCGTCACAGCTGGCTTCGGGCTGGATTCGAAGGAGATATGGGGTACCTGCAAGACACTCTGATGGCAAAGTGAGAAACAGAATGAGCAAGCAAGTATGAATGTAGGTGTGAATGAATGAATACCTGACCCTCTCGAAATATAGGGTATTTATAGCCCCCAGCGCTGGGCCAAGGTCTCTTTATTGGGTTGATTAAATAGGCCCAACAAAGAGACTGTCAGGTTCTACCTGAGTAGTAGGGACCTGCACGTGACCTCCTACCTAGATGACACCCTTCGCAAGACAAGGAGGATAAAGACGCGATCTTCCCGGGACCATGAAGACTCTGCGAAATCCAGAGAGGTTGAAAGTCAGCCTTACGAGGAGGGTGCTCGGTGGGAGTGTGCGCTCGTCGGGGATATTCCTCGCGGGCACCAGCGGGAAGCAATCGCAGCCGACCAGATACCCATGATCGGGGTGTGCTCGGGGGGTATACTGCTCAGCACGGCATGTTTACAAGCTTGGATTGGGCCTCACTGTGGTTGGGCCACGGGCAGGCCCAGTCTAGGACAGGAGCCCCCCAAGTCGTTGCTCCTGGTACGGGAGTTATGACTTGATTCAAGTTCGCCCCTTCGCGAGACTCGCTTACGCGACACAGGGGTTTTCAATCGGGGATATGAGATGTTGCTCGGCTTGTGATTTGCCCCGTGCAGCGATCGAGGAGTGTTCGAGGGGCACTCACGGGGAGGTGGTGATGCACTAGTCAGACATGTGGCGTGGCTCTTGGAAACCACAATGCTGCCATATGGAGTAGGGTCATCATTGTCTACACGAGTAGGCGTCGAGGATGAAGGCGATTCGTGGTTCCCCGACGCGACGTTTCATATTCCACGTTATCTCTATAAATAGGACTTCAAGGCCCATAGCTTGTTTTCACATATTCACGCTCTCATATTTTCTCTGCTTTCAATCACTGTGTGTTTTCCTAGCGTCGTTGAGACCGCCGCACCGTTTGCCGTGTGTTCATCTCCACCATTGTCGCTCCTCACTCTTCTCCCAAGTAAGTGTTCTTTTCCTTTGACATCTCATGTTGTAGATAGATTTTGACGGTGTTTAGTGATAGAATTTCGTGTCTGGGGATTGTGCCCGAGAAATTCAAGCACTATAGGCGCCTGATTCATGATTACGCCTGCAGCATTCATAGGTTTAGGCATACAGTTTACGATCGTGCCCGTGATATTCATGTGTTTGGCTAGTAGATTTATGAACTTGGTCGGGGGATTCATCCTTTCGTTAGTATATAGGCTAGTTTTCCCCGTAGTATTCTTGTATCTGGCTAGCAACGTTATGAACTTGGTTGTGGGATTCATCCTTTGCTCGTGATATTCATGCTATACTCGTGACATTTATGATTGATATACATTCGCCGTTAAGGTTGGTGTTTGGTCGAGGTCTACGTGTTCCCTATTTTTCGTACGAATGGTCGTTGACTCGATCTAAGTGTTGCTTACTTCTCCCCGTCTGTGTGGCGGAAAAGCGGATTTGTTGTCAAATTCACTGGTTTCCTGTACTTTGCAGGTAAATGGTTGATATTCCTGAGTCCTCGGGGTGTAATGATGCCGAGGAAACAAGCACTACCGATGAAAGCATCAATCTAGTCGACACCGTCGATGACCCTACTCTGGATTGGGTTGGTGTTGAACCCCGGGGAATAGCTTCGATCTATAGATATATCGGTAAACAAGCTTATACTGTCGTCGAGTATGGCAGCGGCCAGGAGGGATTTCAGAGAAACTTTAAGATCATGAGACCGACGAGGGATGCCCGCATCTGCTCAGAGTTTACACAGGACGCTTTTCCCATGTACGAGATCATATTTAAAGATATCGGGCTCCAGTTGCCTTTCAATGACTTCCAGGTGGGAGTGTTCAACCAGTTGAACCTGGCCCCCTCCAAGATTCATCCTAACGTGATTGCCTTTATCCGGGCATTTGAACCCATCTGTCGCTTCTTGAGGATTGGGGCAACGATTCCCTTGTTCTTCAGGGTTTTTCATCTGCAGCGGTAGTCCCGAGGAGGGAAGAACAGTTGGGTGTCCCTTAAGCAGTCGAAGAGACTGTTTAGGATGTATATGGATTCTGTGCGAGATTTCAAGGACAAGTGGTATATTTTGCAACCGTCTACCCAAACAGTCGTAGATTCGTTGTTCGAACTGGCCGCTGTGGTGGGCAAGGACGGGGAGTCGTGTTTGGATGCTGAGGGTAATCCCGAGATTGGGAAAGTCTCAAAGTTTCCCATCCACTGCGTTGGCTCTTAAATTTGTCACCCACGGTAAATTGGCCTTATGGGCCAAATATAGAGCAAATGAAGCCAAGTTGGAAAATGCTTCGACGCATGGAAAAAACTTAGAGAAATATCTGAGTTACAAATTGATCTTCGACCAGACATCACCATCAAGCCTTCGATTGAAAAGGTCCTATGACATTCGACTAGAAGAACAACCCTCGTGTCAGCATCAAAGGCGAAGGATATTTGAATTTGAAGAAGGGAGGGAAATGCAGTTCGCCTAGCAGTTAAGAGAAAGCGACGTGGCAGGAAAATAGAGGTCAAGGGGCATGCAGAGGACACTTGTCTTCATCCTAGAGTAAGGAAACCCCTCGACAGTTACATAATTTTAGTACAAAGATAGGAAGTTTGTGTAGATTTTCGGGGTGTTCAATCTATTGTACTAGTCACTCAACATTATTCAAGTACCCGTCGTGTGTGAAAGAATAACTGAGAATGTACGTTGGAAACACCACCTTTTATTAATCAAATCTTTTACATTGCTTTGATCTTCTTTTGCAAAGTTTATGTTTCCTTCATTTTATCTGCATTTCTATTTGCTTTCCAAAACCACAAACACCAACTCCCCGGTCGAACGTGTG